GGATCACGGCCTAGTGAGCCCCGTGGGCAGTTCCGCTCCTTACTCCTGTGGGGATCACGGCCTAGTGAGCCCCGTGGGCAGTTCCACTCCTTACTGTGAGGTCACTGTCAGCAGCAGCACACAGTGACAGCTGGACCTCAGAGGCTTCCGGGTTCCACCTCCTGCCCTCCCCCTGAATTTTATTCCTTTTCTCATTTATCTTAGTAACACTTTGAACAAAATAAAAAATCTTTCTATAGAAGCACTGCATAACCCCCCCAAAAAACCCAAACTCAACCGCTGTCAAGTCCTTTCAACTCATAGCGACCCCTCCTTGGGTTTCCGAGGCAGTATCACTACGGAAGTAGATTGCCCAGTCGTCTTCCGAGGAGTGGCTGATGGGTTTGAACCGCCAGCCTTCTGGTTAGCAGTCAAATGCCTTGGGCACTGTGCCACCAGAGTTCCTCATAGAAGCACCACATAGTCATTGTAAACAAAACCAAACCAAAAATACATACAAGCAAGAAGACAACAGACATTCATAACCTTGTCCCTTCCCAAGAGCAGCCACTTCCCTGATGGGGTAAGTACAGATGCATGATTGAAAAGAAAAATACGAAGTTTTTTTTTTCTCCAAAGTAAATTTTATTTGAAATTAAAAAAGAAAATGTGGTGGTTGTTGAGAAGCTACACAGCAGAACATCCACCAAAACCCAACCATTTCTACGCGTCCAGTTCGGTGACATCGCTGTGTTCTTCAAGCCGTGAGGGATGGGCTGTGCTTCACTGACTGCTGTGTAATGTGCTGAGACACTTTTCCCTTCTCATCATGCAAGTAACATACACTTATTCTAGGCAATTTGGAGGTTATGTAGTAAAAGAAGAGAAAAATAAGCCTGTAATCTTACCACCCAGAAATCACCACCGTTAAAGCATTTGGGAAAATTCCCTTCTGGTATTTTATTTGAAAAACATTTTTAAAGGTGTTCTGTTGGTGCCAAATACTTTCTTATGTGTACAATACCGGGCACAGGCCTGCTGTTGCCACGGTCACCCCCATCATCCTGGTTCCTGTGGAAAGTCAAGTCTCTGAGGGCTGGGTGATGAGCTGGGTCAGGGAGGGTGTGGGCCAGGCGCTGGGTGGTCTGTGAGGGGTTTCCAGGGGTTGTTCTGTAGTCTGGGCCATAAGCCAAAGGGCAGGAAGACACCTCTCACTCAGCTCTTTCTCCTTTTCAGCCCCTGAAGCCCAGAGAGAGACTGTGTTTGTGTGTGCTTCGTGTAACCAGACCTTGAGCAAGTGAGAAGAGAGGCCAGGGTGCAGCGGGGCCCTGGGCCCTGGTCCCTGGGCCCAGCAGTAGATCCTCACTCTCCCCACCCCTAGCCCCATGTGGCGTGTGCTGGGCCAAGGTGCCCTGGATACTAGGTAGGCTTCCTCATCTTCCCCTTGCTATCTCCAGCTAGGTACTGAAGCTGTTCCCACTCTTTGGATGGCCGGTTGTGGCTGCCCTGAAAACCCAGAGCAGTGAGGAGCCCCTGAAGGGTCCTGCATGTTTGCCTAACTGTGTCCTGGGCTGAGTCTGGGAAGCCCAGGACAAGCAGGGCTGGGCGGGGAATAAAAGCTAGAGGGCAGCAGCGAGCTAGGCCTGGTCTCCACTAGGATCACTGATGATCAGGGCCAGACGGACTGTTCACGGGAATTCTAGGGGCCCTGAGATTGCAAAAGAGGCTCTCCTCCTGCTGGGTCTTGTGGTAGGCCCTTGACCTCAGAGCGCCTGCAGAAGGGCTTGGTCGTGCCAGGCCACAGTGCTGCTGCTTGACTGTCCCTCCAGGCATCAGGGTCTGATCATTTCCCCATCAGAGGGTGTGGCCAAGGCTTAGGAGACCAGAAGTGCTTCTAGAAGCAGGGTTGAAGTTCCCAGTGTTCCCCAAAGGAGAATGTGTATAGGAGGGGCTAGCAGAGTCAGTCCTTCAGTATTAAGTGAAGCAAAGCCTAGGGGAGCCCCAGGAGCTGAAGGGACCTCAACCCCACCTTGCAGAGATCCTGCCTGGCTAGTCTCAGCCTCGCTGTCCTCGGCTCTGCCGGGCAGCTGCAGGGCGCTCGGATCATTCCTCCTGCCCCAGAACGTGGGGCAGCCTCTCTGTTTGCCTGGACTGTACACCAGGTGAGCGGAACAGAGTCCTGAAGCCCTTGACTCTTGACCCTTGATCCTTGGGGGCTTGGGAAGTGTAGGATTTGGCTGGGATCTTAGTTGCGGAAAAAAGCCACTTGGGGTTCCCCATCTTCTTCCCAACAATTTCACGTTCACTTCTGGATGCCTGGGGATTCAGGTGTTTCTCCCAAAGCCATGAGCTGGCTCAGGTGCCCCTCCCCAACCCCCTCCCCTGGAGCTGCCCTGCCTTTTTGAAGTATTTATTTATTTATTTCATGGTTTCTGGGAACTTGTGGTACAAGGAATGGGATGAGGAGAATGGGGGCTTTTCCTACCCTGGGATTCTTCCCTGAAGTCATGGGCTTCCTGGGACCCAGACCCCATAGGAGGCTGAGATGTTTCTATACCCTAAGCAGGGACCCAGGGAGGCAGATCAGGGAGACAAGAAACCCATCCCGGGCCACCTTTCTTGCCAGACCAGCCAGTCTAGCTGGGGCTCAGCAGTTGGGCAGGCTCTAGGCCAGTCGAGGTGCAAGTCCCTGGGGACCAGGCAGGCCTTGGCATCCCCCTTCATGGCTCCTTGGTCCAGTTCGGAGATGAGAGTTTAGAGTCCTGGCCTTTATCTACACTGGAGAGGAACAAAAAGGATCTCTGTGTATGTGGGGAATTGTCAATAAAAAGGCCTCGAGCGTCTGAAGTTTCCATCCTGGTCCTTGTGCAGGCCCTTCCTGGAGGCTGAGCACCCAGATTTCTGGCAGCTCTGCCAAGACAGCAGGACAGGCCCTGGTGGGCCCATTAGTGCAAGGGCTGAGGCTGCGTCCTGGCCTGGCGCGCACCGTGGCTGAGAGGAGGGAGGCTGTGCCTTGCATGCCCAGCTCATGTTGGTCACACTGATCTGAGATTCCGTCTCGTGACCAGATTGTAAGGGCCAGGGCTGGGGATCGGAACTTGGACCTGCTGAGCAATACAGGCTTCTGAATAGAAAGATTGAGCTAATCTCTCTGGGAGAGCAAGAAAGGGTCAACCACCAGGGAGGCTGAGAGACGTAGGAAAGGGGATGAGGAGTATAAGGAGATCCTGAGAGCTGGGATGGGTTGGGCCTTTTGGGTGCTGGGCACTGTGGTAAGTGCTTTATACACATCATCTCATTCAGTCCTCATAGTGACCCCAGGAGCTCTGGTAGCATAGTGCCTGAGGCACATGACGGTTCAAGCCCACCAGCCACTCCTCGGAAGGAAGATTGGGCAATCTACTTCCGTAGTGATAACTACCTCGGAAACCCAAGGAGGGGTCGCTATGAGTCGGGGCGACTTGACGGCACATAACAGCAACACAACAAGGGTAGGGGAGGGTGAATCAAAAAAAATAAAAAGGGTCAAAGCTTTAGCAGAGGTGGCTCAGAGAGGAACAGTAAGGATCTTGGGAGGAAGGGAAATTGGGCATAGTGCCTAAGACACTTGACTGCCAACTAAAAGGCTGGTGGTTCAAACCCACCAGCCACTCCTCAGAAGGAAGATGGGGCAATCTACTTCCGTAGTGATACTGCCTCGGAAACCCAAGGAGCGGTCGCTGTGAGTCGGGTCCGACTCGATGGCACATAACAACAACAAGCAAAAGATGAGACCCGCGATGGCGGCTTACCAGTGTTGAGGCGGGGCTGCGGCCAGCTCTACTGTGGAGGGTGTTCTGAGGGAGCCTGGAGGGTAGGTCAGTTGGAAGGATGTGCGGTATGAGTTACAGAGGTCAGAGAAGCACGGGATCCCACCAGCTTTAGACAGGAAAGTTGGGGGCTGCTGCCTTGTCCCCTTGATGTCTTGTGAGGGGCTCAGTATGAGCAGGCAAGGGACAGGCAACTTTAAAATACAGGTACCAATGGGGAGACAAAGCCGCAGAGAGATTGACAGGGTTGAATGGTGCCTCTCCAGTGGCCGGGCCAATGCACAGAGGACCTGAACATGGAATGGTCTGCAAGGCCAACTGTCCATTCTAGAGTTTTGTACCTGCTTTAAAAGATGTGTCCCCATTTGCTGTCAGACACCCAGCGGGAGGGGATGCCACAGGGGGTTCACCTACAGCCCTGGAGCCTGTTGGAGCTGCTGCCACCTGGCTCGGGGCTCAGGGTTCAGCTGATCCTGTTTGTGTTTGGTGGTGGTGGTGGGAGTAGCCTCCGGTGAGCACCAGCAGACTTGGACCTGGCAGTGGTTTCTGGGGTCTCTGGAGCTTGTGGCCCTTGACCAGCTGGCCCTTGGGCTAAAGCCAAAGGAAGTTCCATTTTCATCCTCTGGTCTCCTGGGGACCTTTAGGCCACCCCTTTTGAGGAGCTCTGGCTACAGCATCCATCCTGCAGCTGGTGGCCTTGAAGATGATAATACCTACGTTTATTGAGCACTTGTGCCAGGCATCATGCTGAGTGCGTGACCTCATTTAAACTTCATGGCATTCCCCACAGGTAGGCTCTGTTCTTAACTCCACTTTACAGGGGAGTAGCTGAGGCTCAGGGAGGCTAAGTAACCTGCCACAGGTACAGGCCAGTAAGTGGTGGAGCCAGGATGTGAATTGTGCCATGGTGGTTTGTAGATGCCTCCTGAGAGAAACTCGGATGAACATAGCAGTCCTAGTGTCACTCTCCTCTCTGTCCTGCCTGCCCTTTCTAACCCCAGGAGCTTCTGAGCCACCGAGCTAACGGGGGAGGGGCCTGCCCCTAAGCACACTGCCCCCCCAGTCCATCCTGCCCTAGGCAAATGGGCTCAGCCTCCAGGGGAACAGAAGCAGCTTTGTAGCAGGAGCTCCCCCAGCTTCCAGCCCCACCTCACCACCTCCCTTGGCTGGGTCAGTCTCAACACCCCAGAGCAGCACATTCCATTCTCTGGCACAGCTGGGGGCTGGGGGTTCCCCGTGGCCAGGCCTGCTAGCTTCACAGCCCAAGCAGAGCCTGCTGTCCACGCTGGGACCCAGCCACACACATTCCAGCAGCAACACCCCCCACGTTGGATTTCCCAAGGAATGAACTTTAGCCAGGATTTCAGCCGACTAAACAGTTGTGGGATGTGAGCTTCCTTTGTGAGGACCAGAGGCTAGAGGCTGGCGGGGCTGAGCGGGGCGTCGGGTGGGTGTCAGGAGAAAAGCCACCGTGGGAGGCTGGCCCTCTGCCTCATTCTGGGTCCTTGGAGTGAGATGGGAGCCAGGATCCCAGAAGTCTTCCTATAAGGCAATGGTGAAGAGCATGGGGTCAAATCCTAGCTCCACCATGTAAAATGTGTGACCTCTAGCAAGTTACTTCTCTGAGCCTCAGCCACCTCATCATTAAAATGGAGATGATAATAGTACCCACCTCAAAGGGCTATTGGGAGGCTTCATGTGGCTGATACTTACTGGTTGTATTCCATGTCTTTCTAAAGTCAGCTTACATATCATCTAGGAATGTATTTTTTGAAGCTAAAACCCCAAATGTATGTTCCCCTACCTGTTCTGAAAGTAATAATTCTGGCTTTTAGGGCAGATGCTCCTGCCCTTTCCCTGCCTACCTGCCAATAGTGTTTCTTAGTTGATTAATGAGTCAATTAGGAATTTGTTGAGCACCCATGATGTGCAGGCACTATGTCAGGTCATGGCCTTTGGTTAATAAAAATACTAATTGCTGTTTAATGAACATCTTCTACATGCAGGGCATGGTTTCCAGGTACTTTTCATTCATTTTCCTGCTTCATACTCAGCAACCCTGTGTTCTGGTTACCTAGTATCGCTCTAACAGAAATACCACAAATGGGATGGCCTTAACAAACAGGAGTTTATTCTCTCACAGTTTGGAGACTTAAGTCCAAGTTCAAAGTGCCAGGCTCTAGGGGCTGTGTGAAAGCCCCTTGATCTTGGGCTTCAGCTCTGCCTCTAGCTCATGGCCCACTGAAGCTAGAGGCATTTCTTCACTCAGGCAGCTATTGGCCACTGAGGCTAACAAGCCCAAGGTCGACAAATAAAATGGCACAGTTCCGAATGTTGCCAAACCACATGGCAGGCCATTAATTTAAATTGTAAGTCCCAAGGTCGGCAGAGCATGGCAGGCTGCTGAACAACAACATGGCTACATGCAGGGTCCAAGCTTGCCATAAGCTAGAGACTATTCCCCCAGGCTTCTGCTTATATACAGGAAGCAGACCACATCCCTAGGGCAGCTACTCAGCTGCTCATAGTAGATTCCACCATGGAATTGATTACTAGTCTCATCATGGGAAATAATCAATCCAGCTGCCCAGCCACTCAACCAGGCCCAGCCAAGTTGACACACAAACTTAACCACCACAATATCTTGAGTGCTAGTTGCCTACTCTCATCCTTCCTCCATTACTAATAGAGGGAGCTCTGGTTGTATAGTGCCTAAGGCATTTGACTGCTAACCATGAAGGCTGGAGGTTCAAACCCACCAGCCACTCCTCAGAAGGAAGGTTGGGTGATGTACTTCTGTAGTGATACCGCCTTGGAAACCCGAGGAGGGGTTGCTATGAGTCGGATCTGACTCGACAGCACTGAGGTTTTTTTTTTTTTTTTTTTAATTAATAGAATTTCACTCTGGACCCAACTGATAAACTTGATTTCCCCTGCTTGCTTGCAACATGGGGTGGCCCTGTGATGTAATTCTGGCCAGTGAGAGGTTAAGTGCAAATCTACCAGGTGGGACTTGTTGGGAAATTGCTATTTCCATCATTAAAAAGGCCACAGGCAGCTGGTATGTGGCTTTTTGCTCTGATCCCTTGCTCTTTTGCTGCCTGGAATGTGGCTGAGAAGTTGGGAGCAGAAGGTGGCACCATCTTGTAACCATGAGAACAGAAGCCACAGAGCAGGAAGACAGGAGTTGGACGTTGCCGGCCCAGAAGGACAGCTGTGGCAGCCCTGGACAGCCCACCGCCAGCCCACTTGGGGTTTCTGGTCCAGGCAGTCAGATGCAACCTTTTACTGAAACACTCAGCCTGGGATGTTCTCTCTGGCAGCATCAGCTGTAGATCTCTGGGCCCACCTTGTGGTGAGGTGGGAAGAAGGGTTTTGTGACTGGAAGAAATAACAGGTGGGGCTCAGGCCTGGCAGGACCTCCCTGGTCTTTGTGAGGATTCTTCTCTGGCCCCAGGAGAGATTTCTGGGTGGTCTGGCAGATGTTTTGGGGTGGGGGGCACAGCAGATACTACCAAGCAGGGTCCTGACCCCTTTGTGGGGGTGAGTGAGCGAGGAATGACTTCCTGGGTCTTTCTGGCATGGCTAAGGGAGCACCTTGCCCCTCTCCCACTCCCTCTCACTGGCTGCCAGCACCTGACAGAGGTCAGTATTGTACTCTGGCCAGAAGCTGGCCTGGAGTCCTGTGTGTTCAGTGGAAAAATAATCCCTGGACCTGGTTGACCATAGAAGTGTCTGTAAATATTTGGTCGGGGCAGGAGGCTGGGAGACAAGGGAGGAGATTCAGGGAGCCAGGTGAGCTGGGCAGGGTTTGAGTGAGGGTGGATGGTAGGAGCTTCCTCAGAGGCGAGGAGAAACAAGTAGGCGTCTGCCACCCCTGACCTGCAGGGAGGCCGCCTACTGTCCAGGGGATGGGTTCTGGGCAGGTGGTAAGACCACCTGTTGGCTAGACCTGAGGGGTGCATAGCTCGTACTGGCCCCACAAAAGAATTCAGGCCTGTCTTCTCTGGAGATGTCATTTTCCTCCACTCTCTGAGACAGAGCTCTCTGAGAGCTGCTGAAGCCAGCGTTGCCCTCATCCCAAGAGAAGGAGGCTCATTGGTCTTGCAGGAGCAGCAGACCTTCAGACAGGCCCTGGCATCCCAGCTCCACCCCTCCTGGTGAAGAGAGGTCCTGACTCTGACCCACGGCTCTCAGTTCATCTGCCTTGCTCCTCAACATCTGCTGACTCTCCCTTCCTCCGGGGAACTCTTTCCTGGCACCACCCCTCCCAGAATGCTAAACATTGGAGTAGTAGCAACCTCTTGCCTCCATTGCAAGCCTTCTCCCCTCTCTGTCTCTTCCACCTCAAGGCAGCAGCCCCCGCTAGCAAATCTGCTGCAAAAGATCTTTCTTAAGTGTTAAAAAACAAAGATGTCACTTGGAAGACTAAGATGTGCCTGACCCGAGCCATGGTGTTTTCCAGTGGCCTCATATACATGCTAAAGCTGGACAGTGAATAAGGAAGACTGAAGAAGAATTGATGCCTTTGAATGAAGATATTGGCAAAGAATATTAAATATACCAGGTGGTTCAAACCCACCAGCCACTCCTCAGAAGGAAGGTTGGGCAATCTACTTCCATAGTGATAGCGCCTCGGAAACCCGAGGGAGGGGTTGATGTGAGTCGGGCCTGATTCCATGGCACACAACAACAACAACAATAATAGACTGCCAGAAGAGTGAACAAATCTGTCTTGGAAGAAGTATAGCTGGAGTTGTCCTTAGAAGCAATGTCGGTGAGACTTTGTCTCACATACTGTGGACGTGTCATAAGGAGGGACCAGTCCCTGGAGAAGGACATCATGCTTGGTTAAGTAGAGGGTCAACAAAAAAGAGGAAGTCCCTCAATGAGATGGACTGACACAGTGGCTGCAACGATGGGCTCAAGCACAGCACGGGTTGTAAGGATGGCAGAAGACTGGGCAGTGTTTCATTGTTATATTAGGGTTGCTGAGTCACAACTGACTAGATGGCACCTAACAGCAACAACAGGGTGGGGCCCAGTGTTCTGTAAAGCTCCTAGATGATTCTAATGTTCCTATGTTAAAAATGCAGATTCTGTAGCAGGTCTGGGGTGAGGCCTGAGATGCATTTCTGACAAGTTCCCAGGTGATGCTGCTGGTCCAGGGACCACACTTGAGAAGCGTGGCTGTCACCATCTTAGCTCCTGTAGGTTAAGGCCAGTGCCAGGGGTGTTGGGAAGCTGCAGGGGGTAGCAGTGACACGGTTTAGGCCCCAAGCTCTTCAGAGCAAACCCTGTGGCCCAGGCTTCCTGGGCTCTTCAGGCCATTGCCCGGGTGTGGGACATGCTGTAGGACCATGGGAGTCTTCTGACCATGGGAGAAGGCTGGGAGCTCAGTTCCTGTTCCTCCTCAGGGGCTCCTTGGACAAAAGAACAGTTTCCCCATCCCTCATTTAGTGCACCGTGAGAGGGGTGCCCCTCTGTGCTCTCTGGAAACCCTACAAAAATCCAGGGCATGGCTCTTCTTGGGCATCCAAGTAAGTCTGTGTGGACAGGCAGAGGGCTAAGATGAGGGCTGCTTTTTAGAAGCCCATTCAAAACCTTCCTTTCCCCCCACCTCTTGGGATCCAAATGACCAAAGAAATCACCTGGTCAGGACCAAGTGTAGGTTTCTTTAATTAAAAACTTAAAAAACGAAAACAAAACAACACCCGAGCCCTACCTGCATCAGGTGTCTAGTACTATGGCCTCAGAGCAGTAGCAATAATTTACTCATCATTAGGGTAATAGGGACGCAGGTATGGAGGCTGTGCAGTGAGTCCAAGCAGTGATCCCGTGGAAGGGAAGTGTGCTCAGAGGCCGGAAGCAGAGTCTCACTCTGGAGTCCCCGGGAACTCTAGGCTCAGGGTGGGGAAGGCCGGGGTGTGTGGCTGGAGGGCTCTGTGACCCTGACTCCTTCCTTTGGGGGGCTCCTAGGAAGGCACAACACGTGGCAGTGGGGGAAGGTAACTGTCCTCATTAGCTCAGCCTGACATTGAGACCTCTCCATTTCCAAGGCTAGGCCTCACCAGCAGTAGAGGGGAGCAGACACCCCCAGCTCTGGATCCTCCTCCTCAGAGCACTTTGTCCACCCTCTCCTCCCTCTAGCTCTGTCTGCTTTTCTGAGACCCTGGGTTTTCCCCCAAAACGAGATAGTTCTGCATCTAAGAAAAGATGCCCAAGACCTCAGGGACACCGTGGTCAAGGAGCACAGTCCCCCGCTCTTATGTCCACCCTTTAGGACCTGTGGGGTCAGCCTGGAAGTGAGGTGAGGCCAGTTGGGGAGGAGGAGGCGGGAGCATGTCCCAGGGGCCGGGGGGCAGAGGGCAAGGCACAGCTAGTTGCCGGGACTGGGAGGGGCACCCTTCAGTGAGGTTCTGCGGCCCCATAGAAGAAGGGGTAGTAGAGGGAGCAGGGGTAGGAGAACATGAACTTGACCGCAAACTTCATCTCCTTGTTCTTCTTGTCCCAGCGGTAGACAGCCATGAGCAGCAGCTGTCCGTCCACCTTGCGGCCCATGACCAGGAAGCTGCCTGCCAGGCTGTCCAGCTGGGGGCAGGGGCAGCCTGCACCGTTCTTCATATGCAGCACCAGCCGCTTGGTGTCCTTGCGCTTCAGGGGCCCTGGCTTGAGCAGCTTCTTCTTCTTTTGGGCTCCAATCAGCTTCCGGTCCCCATTCTCTATCTTGATCTCCTTGATGCGCATTTTGACCACTGTGGGAGGGAGGGAGGGTCAGGGTGCGCTCAGGATGCTGGTGCCCCTTTAGTGCTGGACCTCTGCTCTGGTGGCTTGGGAGGGGTGAGCGTACGGCGTATATTTTACTGTTTATTTGGCTCCTCTCCTGTGCTGGGCTTTCATGGACAGTCTCTCATTCCACCCTGGAGGTACTGGGGAGGGCAGTGACCTGCCTGAATCGTGGAGTCTGCATTGGACCGAGGTCTGGGGACTCTTCTGACTTGGATTTCTGACCCATATGTGTGTGTGTGTGTGTGTGTGTGGAGATATGTGGGGTGTGCATATGGCATGACTGATTTGAGCAGTGGTGGGCAGGTAAATGTTTATTTAACACCCCATTCTGAGGCAAGGTGAGCCCGTTGTATACTGTTTTTCCCTGGGGCAAATACCCCGCCCCCGCCAGTCACATCACTGAACACCTAGATGGGCGGAGAGATGTACAACAGCTCTGTGGGTGTGCACCAGCTGCAGCACACACTGCAATGTGTGTGTGAGAGTGTAGGCGTAGTGTGTTATGTGTGTGTATATGAAAGCGTGTCTGTGCTATGTGTAGAGAGTGTGTGTGTGGGAGGGGGTGAGGGGAGGTGGTTGAAAGCAGGATTTGTGGCCAGAAAGTCACAGTCCAGGCCACTCGGAGGTGGTTGCAGAGAGGCCTGGGGAAGTCAGGCACTGGGGAGAGGGATTTCTGGGCCCAGCTACTCACTTGGGCCAGTCTCTGCCTTCTCCAGGCCTCTCTGCAAGCAGCCAGGAAGACAGAAGATAACTTTGCCCACTCAGGGAAGGGAGTTTTCATAAAATCGCTTTCTCTTTCCCTCTCTGATACCCACCCCCCACCCCCAGCACCCACACACCCTGCAACAGGAGTATTCTTTTTCCAAATAGACTAACTTTATAAAAGACACCTCCAAACTAAGGACCGTGTTCTTATCTCTTTCTTATACACAGGGAGGTGAAGACACAGTACAGGGAGTTAACCTGGCAAAGACCACGTGCTAGACTGTGTGGTTCATGCATGTGCCAGGCCTGACTGGACTGTTGGCTCTGCTTTCCCAGGAACGGGAAGCTCCATGATGACGCTGTGGGGACAGGTGACCAGCTTCCTGGCCAGAGGGGTGCTCAGTACTAGGTAGAGGTGCCCAGGAGTAAAGGTGCTGCACCCCCTGGGGCCCATCCATCTCTCCCTCCATCTCTGGGCTAAGCCTGCATCCCCCAAAGAGACAAATCTAGCTGCAGAGACCTCTCTAGACAGCGCCCAGGGGTGGCTGTAGGGGCCCTGGCTGGCAGTGGTCTCTAAAGTCTATGACCATGGCCTTGAGGGGGCACCTGAAACTCCTGAGGTGATAGGCAAAAAAAGACAGCAGATTGGTGGATGCCAGGGGATGGGTGGAGGGGGAAATGGGGAGTGACTGCTTAATGGGTACAGCTTCCCTTTTAAAGAGAGAAGAATGTGATAGATCAGAGTGATAAGAACCAGATTGGGGTAATGGTTGTACAACATTTGGAATGTACTAACTGCCACTTTAAAATGATGAATTTTATGTTATGTGCATACCACTTCAAAAACCAAACCAAACTCTGCCATCAAGTTGATTCTGATTCATAGCTACCTGCTTTGGGTTTCCGAGGCGATAAAGATTTATGGAAGTAGATTGCCCAGTCTTCCTTCTGTGGAGTGGTTGGTGGGTTTGAACTTCAACCTTCAGGTTAGCAGTCAAATGCTTTAGGCACTATGCCACCAGAGTTCCTTATTTTACATTTATATATTAAGAAGAGGTGCTCTTCTCTGGGGAGAAGATTCTTGCTTATCACCAGGTTCTGAAAGGGGTCCATGATGCCGAAAGTATGGGGCTTCCCTGTGGTGGGTGTGTGATTTTGGGTGTATCAGGGAGGAGGGGCTGGGTGTGGGGTGGCCGCTCAGGCCCATACTCACCGAAGTCACTGGAGCACATCTGTTCCATGAGGCCATCGGCACTGTGCTCCATCTCACATTGGGCGCAGATCTTGGTCACTGAGGAGAGGAGGCGGGGGTGGGGGGGAGAGGGGAAGCTGGTGAGGGGACCAGAGTCCAAGGATCCACTTGGGGTACAGGCTTCCCCACTTACAGTCACATGCCCCTCCCAAAGCTTCCACTTCCTCGTCAGGAAAGGATGGTGACATTGCCACCATCTGCCTGCTGAGTGGCTGTGAGAATTAAAAGGAGCGGTGCAGAGACAGAGCCACCTAGGTGGGCACAATGTCTGCCTCACAGCCTGGCAGCCACAGCCATCCTGTTCCTGGTCTGCCTCTCAGTTTTATCTCATTCAACCCACAGTCTGTGAAGCAGTTGTTGTTATTCCCGTTACAGAGAAAAGGAAACTCAGGCCCCGAGTGGTTACCCAAGCCTGGCAAAGCGTGAGAACCAGGATTTGGGACTCCCGGTCTGGTTCTGAGGTGGGGGTATTTTCAAGGTCTTTCTGGGAAAATCAAATGACGACAGGGTCAGGCAGGTAGGTGAACAAGTCAAGTTGGCCCCCAACCCAGTGAGATTAGCATTGTCAGAACTACTGACTTTTCAAAGGAAGCCAAAATTCTTAATTTTTTACATGAAATGTTTACATGAATATGTTAGCCATGCAGACATGTCTTCAAGCTGTTGCTGGTCCTCAGGCCACCATACTCATCCTCACCTTACCTCTGCTCAGCATCGCCTATGTCTCTGCCTCCAGGGAGGCCCCCATCACTGGGGAAAGGGGGGCTCAGAGAGGGTGGGGAGTGTGGAGGGCAGGGTCAGGTGGGATTTCTGTGCCCTCTGAATGGACCCCCCACATGGATCTCTGATGGGGTCTGATGCCACTGCCTCAACGGCCCCCTCTTCCCACCCTCCAGGAGATGAGGGTTTCTCTTCTTCCAGCCCTCCCCAGTCCCAGGACAGGCACCCAACATCGGCTGTCAGAGAGTGCATGGGTTGGGTAGAAGCAGGTGGCCTGGGCAGACTGCATGAGTGGGGTTAGCCCTGAGGGGTGGGATCCTGTATGGGGGGTAAATGATGTGGACCACTCTTGGACAACTGAATCTAGTTACTTTTCTGGGAGCCTGGTGGATATGCAAAAGAGGGAGCAGTGCTGCCCTAGGGTGAGTTCCTGCCATCGGGCGGCTTAGACGTCTGCATTAACAGCACAGGTGAGGCTTTCCTGCTCCATGACACTGTTTACCCTCCTGCCTGGGGCTCTAGGTGTCTAGGCAGGGGCTTACCTGGGCGGGGGGCGGGGCTTAGGAAGAGCCCACGGAGGAGCAGAGCGAATAGGAGGCTGAGACGGGAGAGAATGGGGTTACCAGACTTGGGGGCCGGGATTAGGATTTTTGAGGTTTCAGGAACTCTAGGTCGCTTTCTTTTATACTGATAGGGAAACCAAAGCTCGGAGAAGTTAAATAACTAGTCCCAGGGCTCCTTGTTAGGGGCTGAGCCTGGCTAATCGCCTTTTTCCTTCCAGAGGCTTACCCAAAGGCCTCCCAGCCCGGGGCACTGGGAAGATGGTGGGAGAACTTCCCCGGCGCAGAAAACCCGAGGGGGCGCATGTCTGTCTTCCGCTCTGTGTGGTCTCTTTCACCCCTCTCCTCCTCCCCGCCCCCTGCAAAGGTCCCAACCAGGAGTAGAGGCGATGCCTGCCTTGGCGCCCTGGTTCAGGGTTATGGAGGGGGTTGAAAGGCGTATTTAGCGACCATGGCATTCTCTGGCAGAGTGAGGCGTGAAGGCATTTATCCGGACGTGCCAGGATGGGGGGCGCAGATTGGGAGCGCCCCATGGATGCCTGCGACTTGAGGAGGTGGGCGCTGCGAGGGGTGTCTGAGGTCTGCAGGAACGGAGGTGGAGTAGGGAGAACCAGTAGGAATGTCCAGAGCCGCAGGGAGGCACTACTCAGGCATCTTGCCATGGGCAGGTGGGACAGCGGGAAGGCTGCGAGAATGCTGGCACGCAGGGCTAGGCGAAGACGTGTGTGTGTGTGTGTGTGTGTGTGTGTGTGTGTGTGTGTAGGGGTGGGCACCTATAGGGGCTCGCAGAGCTGCGCTATGGGGGCCGCGGGGAGCAGCATCTGTTTGGGGCCCGTGGGGCTGCGTGAAGGCTCAGGGTCAGTTCTCCCGCGCCCAGGCCGTCGGAGGGCGCGGGGGCGGCGATGGCTGCGCTACCTGGAGGCGCGGTGGCAGGCAGGTGCCCGTACTGCACGGCGATGCAGAGGTCGTTGTCCAGGGGGAACTTGTGGCAGTACAGCATCTCGGGCCAGGGGAAGCCGTAGGCCTCCATGAGCGGCGCGCAGCCGGCGCGCACCGCCTCGCACAGCGAGCGGCACGGGTAGATGGGTCGGTCGAGGCAGACGGGCGCGAAGAGCGAGCAGAGGAAGACCTGAGTGTCCGAGTGGCAGCGCTTCGCCAGCAGCGGCAGCCAGCTGCTCGCCTGCTGCTTCACCTCCGCCAGGCTCTCGTGCTCCAACAGGTTAGGCAGCCGCATGCGCTTGTAGCCCACCGTGTGGCAGAGCGGCAGGTCTGCGGGGATGTCGAGGCACTGCGGCGGC